CACGTAGCTCCCGACTTAAAGGTCAAATTTGTGGCAATATCCCTATTTCTATACTACTAATATATAGGCTAAAATTACTCTCAAGACGACTCAATTTGTCAAAAGTTTCCAGAGGATGTCCCCGGAATCCCCCTGATAGGCTAAGAGAATTCCCCAAACTCTCTGTCGAGTTAGAGGGATCCCGCAGAAGTCGGCAATCTCCTTACTTGAGAGTTCTTTGTGCCCCCAGATCCCCCTTGATGAGGTACCCTTCTGACCCCCATGAAAAGTCCCTCCTAATTTCAGTGTTATATTTTAACATTTTAACTGCCCTTGACAAAAAGATGGCGGAAGCTGAGCCGGGGGGGGGGAAGAGGTCGTAGCCCTAAATAAACTCTTCGTTTTTTGAAAAACGTGAACTTTCTTCAAATTTAGAGAGTATGCGATCCAAAAATGCGCGGGACCCTCGTACCCGTCAGCACTCTGGGCCCCTGAGCGCTAATCCGGCTCTATCTACCACTAGTGATCTTATTTTACAATCTTACCGCGTAGAACTCTCGTAAGTTGTCCATAGTCGTTAGGGGGTACTTATGATGCAGTAGGACTTGTCTCGTCTCTTTCTCCGTGAAGCCAAAGCATTGAGAATATTTCAGCAACCGGCCAGAATTGATCTCGACGAAGTTAATACCCAAGAAAAGGCCCTCGTACGAGATCAACGTGGTGCCCACGATGACGGCTTTGAAGAGGAACGGGTTCTTCTCGATGGCGTGATTAAGGGCGGTCCGCATAAGGATGACCATTTTCTCGTAGAAGCCGCTGAAGAAAGCTCGGTTGATTGGTGTGTCGTATTCGTCAACGAGGAGGATGACGCGCTTGTTGTGGTAGCGGGACAGGAGGTTCGTCATCAAACGTATCGCCGTGATCGTCTCGGCGTGTGTCCCGCTTTTCGTTAGGATGACGTTAAATATGCGTTTCTCGGCTTCCGTTACGTTGACGCTGTTTATGACGTACTTGTTGCGTTCGTAAAGCTTGGACATGACCTTGAATAAATATCAAAATTCATGAAAGAAATCAATGGACCGAATTTAGCAGAACGAAACCAATTCAAATTCAACGGGGCAATTTAATTTCTTACAAGAGAAAGTCTGCGCAAAAATCCGCTGAACTTTTTTTTTTTTTTTTAAAGCGACCTTTATTGTCGGATAAACAAGGAGGGGTAGTACATAATAATGGTAATACAAAGTATACAAAGATACATGAATGGATATACAGTATGGTAAATACAAAGATAAATGAATGAGAAAGGCAATGTGTAAATTGAGAGAGAGAGTGCCAGGTTGAAGAGATTCTATAAGTCAGGGTCGCGCCGGAACTACCATTTGGCATACCATCGGCGGGGATTGGGGGGGGGGGGGGTCTGGGGGTTCGGTGAGGAGGGCGGCATTTGAGAGTTCTTTATTCTAATTATGTTTTCAACGAAGGAAGATATATAGTTCCAGGCTTAACTGTTTTCATGTGCAAATTAATTCCCGATAGTTTTGGCTTCAGCTGATGTGGCTTGGTTACTTTCAGCTTATCACGGTCAAAATGGTCGACCAATGGATCATAAAATCGTTGTTTGGTGTTTTAAGCTTGCCGGTCGGCAAACATTAATAAGATCTGTTTAAAATCTAATGGCCACGTCCATAAGACCGGAGATATTGCCCATCAAAAACCACGACCAATGACGTCATCCATAGCGGTATTGCACACCGTGGCCTTTTCCACCTTGAACTTATCCATCATGTTTTACGTCGAGCAATACGTTCAAATGTATCACTGATTGATAGAACCAAGATGAAAGGTAGCACGGTGTGCATTACGGGATCAGCATTTTTGGCATTAGCATAATATCATCCACCTGCAAATGGAAACGCCTGAAGCAAATGGATACCTGTGTGCAAGAGAAAGGCTGTTGAGGAAGTGCCATCGTCTCGCCTTCGAGGTTTGAAACGACTGAGACTGTGTCCTCGGATATACGGCTCGTAAGGGCCGTGTTTCAAGGGAAATACAACTATTTTGACACGTGGGAGCTGTTTTTGCCTATCCTTCAAATTGAAGGAGAACAGTAGCCAGTGTCTCAGAATATGGTTTTAAGTTTGCATTACACAGCTGGGATTTTTTTCCAATGGGCAATGTGGCAACTGGTAAGTTCTCAAGTCGATTTGTACCCAGAGACTGGCTTGTATGTATCATATTATAGTAAGATTTTAAATCTAAATCTAATCCTATGGTCACACATTTGTACAATTTTGTTCTACATATAACTTCGTAAAAATATCAAGTTACACTTACATTTTTAACAAATCTGACACTGACGTTTTGGTCTCACGCATGAGATTTTTTCTCCGTGACTTCTTCCAGTGACGCGGCAGCAATTTATTTTCTTACTTTCTTTGCGATTTATATGTTTACAGTTGCATAAATTCTGATGTTAATTTGTTTTTTTACTATCTTAATTTTCAATTTATGTAAGCAATTAATATAGGAAATTTAGGTTAAAAAAAAAAAATTAAATAAAATTTTTTGAGACCCTGGTATAAATAAGTCATAAGCCGATCGTGATTCGATCAAGACTGACCGTCGATTTGTTAGCACAGCAAAAGCTACACATGAACTACTTTTCTCTCATTGTAACATAAGTAAAAGTGCATGGATCCATCTCTTCATTTTACTTATCAATTTTATTTTATGTTTAAACTAACCTGTTTCATGCCGTCGAGAGCTTTCTCGTACGTGGTCCAGGAATTGTAACCAAAACTCAAGATCAAAGTTGGGTGGCTGTTCCTATGCTTGCGACAAAACCAATGGTCCTTAGAAATTGTAAGATTTCTGAACAAATAGGGGAAGCGTCCATTTATGGTCAGAAAATAATAAAGCATTGAAAGATTGATGCTTTTACCGAATTTGCGTGGCCTCGCGATGGCTGTGACCAGTGCAGGATCTTCAATCAACTCTTTTACGAAGTAACTTTTGTCCACAAAATATCTGCCCTCCTCCATATGGATCCTGAAGTTATTGCTACGCACATGGTTTAGTTTTAGATAGAAGTCATCCCCGTCTATCAACGCGAGATCAACCTGAAATCATTACAGGATATCAATGAATGATTGAACTTTGTTTACAGGAAAAGGTTTTCCAATTATTTTTTTGGTCAAGAAATAGAGAAAAGTTCATTTGGAGCATTTTCAATTTTAGAAACAAAAAATAAAAATAAAACAAGCAGAAAAATCCAACATGAATATGTTGGAAAAGCGTGCCGAATAA